GGTGCCTCCTGGGTGCCTGCTGAGGTGGGAGATGGGGCTGATTCCCAGTACCCAAGTGAGCATCGGGGCAAGGGGAAAGAGCAGCTGAAATGCCAGGACCAAGAGCTGATGCCCTGAGAGCCACTGCAGCCGGGCGCCTGCCGTAGGCCTGTTCAGGGGCCAGCTCCGGCTGAGCCCTGTGTCTTTCTCCAGCCCCGGATGTTCTCAGAGCTCTTCCCAAGGTCTCCTGGCTCCCCTATATTTTGGGGGAGCTGATCATGTGCCTCTGCCCTGCAGTTTGCTGCACTGAAGGCCCGGGTGCAGGCTCAGCAGCCAGATCCCACCCCATTCAGGGCGGCCCCAAGGAGCCGGCTGGCTCCACATCTACACGGCCAGCTGGACTAGGGGGGACGCGGCCGCTTGTCTGCTCCCGGAGACATTGATGCCGGCAGCAGCTCGGCCAGGTTTGTGCAGGATGCCAACGCCTGGTGCTGCGGCACTGAGCTGCAAGCGTCCCACCTTCAGCACTCTGGTGCCCACATCCTCTGCCAGACGGCACACCCAGGCGACATCCGGAGGAGGGCAGCCAGCTGCTGAGACAGGTCCAGATCAGAGCGGGCGACTCCTGGGCCTGGCCGGCTCCAAATGTGAGTGCAGCGAGACGACCCCTGCGAGCCAGCCGCATCCCGGCTGTGATGGCCACCCTTACAAGCTCTTTAACCGGACTTTCACCCTCCTCTTGGCCTTTTCCTGAGCTATTCTCCCCTCCAGACCAAGGGAATAACAAACTGATTCTGCAGGTGGCTCCCAGGTTGCAGCGGGCAAAAATCCTGCTCAGGCTTCCCCAGCCTGAGCCAGCGTGTGCCCGGGGCTCGCTGTCCTTGACAGCCCCAGCGGGAGAAGGGATGGCGGGCACGCAGGACGCTGTGTCCCTGCGTCCCCCACAGGCTCGGATGCTGCCAGGCCTTCAGTGCCAGGCAGAGTGCTCAGTGGCGGGATCCAGGCCCTGCCCTGCCAGCAGCACATGAGGACCCGGAGGGCGTGAAGAGCAGCAGAGGCGATCCGTGTTCCCATGCATGCAGCATGACGGAGCCCCCAAGGAGGCACCATCCTGTGCAAGCCCGACTGGCAGCAGTTGGATGGCAATGTGGTGACACTCCGGACACGCTGAGCTCAGAGCAGCTGGCCTGGGAAAACCGCATGCATGCAAATGCGGATGTGCCTGGGGCAGGCCGCGTCCTCCACGATGACTGGTTGGGCGCGGGGGCTTTTGGGGGCAGCTCAAGGCTGCTGGGTGGCACCCACTCCCGTCTGCCCAGCAAACCAGCTCTTCTCCACCCTTTTTCTGGGATCCTCTTCTCCCAAGCACCCTGGGTTTGTTCCCAGGCCCCGAGATGCCAGGAAACACTCGGGGGGAGGGGGGGAACAGCAGTGACATCCCCTATCCCTGGGTCTAGGACACAGCCGGCCAGGGTGTCCCACTAAGCTGACGGCCCGCGGGAGCTGCAAGATCAAGGCAAGCCGGGGCCGTCTGAGCTGGTCCCCTGGGATGACGGCGTCGGAGGCACGGCAGGAATGACCCCCCCTCCGGCTGCTGGAATCCAGCTCTGGTAAACAAGTGAGTAACCCGGATAAGAGCCTGGCCCCGCTAAATATAGCTGGAAGGACGGCTCGTGTTTTCTCATCGCAACCTCTTCCCCCCAGCGGCAGCGCAGCGGAGCCAGGACAGGTGAGGCTGTCCCGCATCTCCCACCCGCGGCCTCCCGGCCAGCTGCCCGCACCGGCAGCTTCCGACTCATGTCGGCCCCGTCGGGTCTGGGCTCGTCTCCCCCGGGAT